AATTGTCCGTGTTTTTGTCTACAAATTCTTTTAAATGTAGAGTCCTTAACTCACAGTAAAACATTGGAGTCCATTTTTTGGTTCACAAATAAGTTTAAAACCTGTGATGTGTGATGTATTTGGGGTGCACAGGGGGAATGATAAATAACTGTGCCGTGCTACGTGTCTGGAGAGGGCAGATAGTATTACTGCACGTCAATTCATCTCGCTTACATCGTCTCCCTTCTCGGCTCATTTCTCTGAATTGGGTTCAAAAAGGCTGATATCCGCCATAAAACATTATTCTTATATGCCAAGTCAAGTGAAAGCCAGCAAAGTGTGAAGAGCCTCATTGGAGACACCGGCCCACCCAAGCGCAAAGGTTTTATATGGAATCCGCCAGGAAGCGTTTGTCATGTTATCCAAGGCTTAGGTTGAACTCTTGTGAGCTCTGAAACGTATGTGGGGGGTCGAAATGAAATAAATAGTTCACACAGCAAACTTTTCTTTCCGAATTGTGAAAAAAATATTAAGCAATATTTTGTTCAAAAAGCCCCCTACGCAGGGTATCATCAGCATGTTGTGATGTCACAGTCTCACTGATGGAGGAAGCTACTGGGTGAAACACGTGGCCGTGTAAATCAAAGCTTAACAAAGTTTCAGTGTATAAATCGGTCCAACAGCTCTTTATGAAACTCCTAAAGAAAACGGTCCATAGCAGCCTCATTAGCACAGAAAGGAGCGGAGCAAAAAAACAGGAAGATGAAAGGGAGAAGAGACATGGATGAGGAAGGACGTGCAACAGAAGGCCTGTAAGAGCCGTTGACGTACTACCGTGGGTTTGTGCGAGTACGTCCTCACAGGTGGGAATGGACATTATGAGGGAAATGTCCAATGTTTTGGAAAAACATGAATGGAATCCAGACACTTTAAAACATTATACAAAATGGTTTGTATTTTTCTCTTTGAACAAGTAAACGGCTTTGTGAGGTCACGCAGGAGTTAAAAATCTGCATGAGGCCGTAAATCCTTGAGGGTTCCTCCGCTAATTTTAATTAATCCTTTAGGAGAATGATGTCGTATCTCCTATGTGACCACGCAGCCACGGCACAGCCTCACACGGTATACTGAATATTTTTTACATTTTCACAGCTACACTATCAATGTGTGCCACTTTACAATCAACGTAGGTTTCCATAGCGACACATTAACATGAGCAATGTAAGTGTGTAAACATACCCAGCAGGGGCCATTTAAAGAGGATTTACCCCATTTATTCTATGAATAGAATGTATTCTGTGTCTGTTGTTACTTCATTCCATACAAATCCATAAAATGTATCTATATATATATATATATATATATATATATATATATATAGATAGATACATATGTATCTATGTATATATATATATATATATATAAAGAAACATATATATGGCACTGTCCTGACTGACAAAGGCAGCAAAATCGCACAAACAGGGCCCATCGTATAAAATAATTCTTTTATAACACGGTTTGAACATGAAACGCAGTCATGATGAGATAATAACTGGAATCCAAATCTGAAATTGATTGGCAGCAGTGTGACTTATTTTATAATAGTCCTCCAAATTAACTAAATTCCCAAATTTGAATTTGCATTTATTTTAGATGATATGCTTGTACAAAGCCACTAACATTTAAAGGACCCTTTATTTACATTTTCTTGTCTATATGTGTATATTAAAACATTTACTAAGTTATTACTACATGTCATTCATTTTTCTTATTCATATCTTTTTTTTATTTTCAACATCCTCAGGTCTCCCTCAGTTTGGACACACTTTCACATTGAATTGAATGACTTGCTGGTCCCGTCTCACCACAACCAGCCTGAACCATATAGCTTGTCACTTCTTTATGAAGCGCCATTGTGAAGCTCAATGGGACTTAGATGGTCACCATCCTATCGTTCTAAAAACAGGCCAAAAACATGCAACCAAAATGTCGTCCATCCATCCATCCATCCATCCATCGTCAAACCGCTTATCCTGCACACAGGGTCGTGGGGGGGCTGGAGTCCATCCCAGCCAACTTCGGGCGATAGACAGGGTACATCCTGGATTGGTCGCCAGCCAATCGCAGGGCTACACAGAGACACACAACCATTCACGCTCACATTCACACACCTACGGGCAATTTAAAGTCCCCAATTAACCTGATCCCCAGAGAAATGTCGTCACTTTCCAAAAATGTCCTCAAAGTCGTATTGAGGACACTGGATGAAGATAGCTGTTCAGGTAAACACACACACATACACACTTACGACTACGGAGTCCCTCCGTTTATTCGTCACGCGTTTTGCTTTCTCACTCTTGCCACGCACAAGCAAACAGTGAATCACACAAGCACACACACACACACAGACGCTTCCCCGGGGCAGCCTGATTGAGGTTCCATGGCCTCGCCCTTCAGATTTACTGTAATCGTCGATGGAGGGAGGGAGGAGAGGCAGGGAAAGAAAGCTGAACCGACAGAGGGAAAAGTGAAAAGGGGAGAGAGGGAGTGATGGAGTAATGGAGGAGACGGTAAGGGGGAGGGGGGGGGAGAGAGAGTGAAACGGCAAAACATGACGCAAGACGACGAAGAGGGGAGATGAGAAAGGGAGAAGGAAAACGTCTCCCATTAAGGTCCAGAAGGCAGCTCCACTCCACACCCTCTGCCATCAGCCGCTGATGATATAACACCCAGTTTTAAAGATCAATTTGTCGCCTTTCATCTACTCCTACACCTCATTCTCCTCCTCCTCTTCCAGCAGGGCTCAGGTCAGAGATGCCAGAGGAAGAGGAGGAAGAGGAGGAAGAAGGTGGAGGAGAGAGGAGCTGGAGTCGCGGCTTCGAGGGAAAGCGGTGAAAGAGACGACTTCTATTCTAGAGCATTTTTGGATGATTTCATCCACATTATACCCTCCCCTCTCCTGCTGCATGATTTCCTGTTCTCACAATAGCAACGCTACACACACTGTTACACACACACACACACACACACACTCTAACTGCCCTGCAGAATGAATCAATTCCTCGTTTGTCCTCACTTTTCTCCCCTCTGCCAGTTCTATAAAACTGTGGTTGAAGGACTCCAGCGGTCCTTAAAGGGGTCGGATGGGGTTCGATCTTTTTCACTACATATTCAAGGACCCAAAAGGTTTTTCTGCCTGCTTTAAAGTTCAAACTGAGAAAGTTATATGTATTAACGTTCACGCATAACATTTTCCTCATCAGGAACTTGACTTGACTTGACTGATGAGGTCCATGGAGAGATTACAGAGCGATTCCCAGGATAGTCAGCCAGGAGAACATCGTTTAATCTTCATGAGATTTGCACCAAGCGGTTTTGATATTATACGACCCGTTGAACTGTGTCATCTAGCAACTCCTCTGCTGTCTCTCTTTTGGGATTTGAGAGGGACAGTGTCTCCGTCGATACAGGGTAGATGACAACTACAATATTCATAAACTTTCATTCATTTTTTAGGAACCATTAGAATAAGGGAGGTTAGTTATATCAAAAAGTGTAGCTTAGGCAAATAGACCCGTATCAAAACTGTTCCCTTAGCCAGTCCATTCAAATTACTGCTTGTTTAACCACATCCATGAGCCCATGTGGTCTGTTGCACCTGTGAACCAACTAAAGCCGCCACGGACCCCTTTCTGACCTCGCGTTACAGACCAGCGAGCCGTTTGTCTTCTGGAGGTCATTAACATGAAACGTGATCCACGAGTTGTGATCTACGCCGTCCTCAGCGCACCGAATGAAACACGCCGCAGACGGGAGCAGATGGGGCGTGAGTGTCGCCTCGGAGCACACAGAACGAGGGAAGTGAGATAATAACCCACAGCTAATCCGCTGCACACTAAAAACTCGTTACTCCAGAAGAAGACAACAACAAAAAAAATCTCGCCCCCCCGCCCAAGATGGACGTGAAATACTCGGCGTAAGGTGAAGGCCTCGGCGCAAACCGCCTGCTTTCTCTCATGTGTGAAATTTCCTTTATGCACAGTTCAGCGGATTTGACTCGTCTTTATTGAGGAGCTGGTTGTTGGGCGCCTGCACTGATGCAAACACACACACACACACAGCTGTTCATGAAGGCAACACCATTTTATATTTTCAAATGTATTCCTTCCACCATGACTGGTAACTGCCGGTTACCATAAATGATATAAATATCTATTGTCAAACTTGGTGGTAAAACATTGCAATTAATATCAAATCTGCATAAAACTAAAATCCTTGCGATATAAAAGGCTGAACTCGTAATGTTCGAGCCCTCTAGAAAGGTACCAGGTTGACCCTTTATAACCTTTGAGCCAATGAGAAATGCTGGATGAAAACCAGCGAGACCTTTTCACCTTCCACTGCACCATCTGCATATTCACATATTATCACAACTTCACACCCTCAAAATTCATTACACCGTTATGTTAATCTCATGTCAGGGGAGTCGCTGCAGCACGAGCAATTAGAAACCCGTTCACATGCCTGAATAAAGATTAGATCCTGCCTTGATTATCTTCCCCCCCTTCAGGTGGAAAATGTGTACACAGCATGTCGAGATAAGAGTCGCTGCTGCGTCCGGCCTAAAGGCCGCTGAACGGTGAGACCGTCACCGAGCAACCGCGAGGACCCGCGCTAACGCCTCACGGGAACACGCACCGCCCGTTTGACCACAAACCACGTCACCGACGTCACAAACCACCCAACCTGTTACACTGAGCTGTACTTAGTGAGGGGGAACTACCGGACGACACGCCTGCAAGCAAACCAGCAGCAGATGTGGAGGAGGAACACAGACGAGGGGAGGGAGACGAGAAAAGCTCTTATTGAATGAATGCATGCACATCTATGGGCGAAAGAAAGCAGAAGTTTGGGGGGAGGATTGAACCGCCGGGAACCGCCATCGAACAGATCGGCAACATCCAGCGTTCACACGGGAGAAGCGCAACAGGAGAAGAAGAAAAAAAAGAGGTTGACCTTACCTCCCAACGCTTGTTTCATAACGAAATTCATGGTGATGGCTTTTAATTCCCTGCCTTCTTTGTCGGAGAAATGTTACAATCAAGTGTGACAGAAGAAGAAGTCCCTTGTGGCCAAATCTGTGAGAAGAAAAAATATGTACATATAAGAAAGCAATAATCCTAAACACCATAATCCTGTAATGCATCAATGAACAATACAACACATAGTATGGTAATTCATCCTGCCATTGCGTAGGATAAGGAGGTCACTATTACTACTACGGGCTCTCTCCCCATTAAATATTTAAAGAATATTGCAGAAAGCGTTAACCTTAAGCTGCAATCACACATCGCCCCATGAGACCGGGACGATCTGCGCGTTTCCTCAGTGTACTAATTGAAGGACGTCAATGGTTCAAACACAGCCTGAACACAACGGAAAATACTGGAGGAAAAAACGCCATGAATCTACAGACCAAATCACCACCGCCGTCTATTTATTTTTGTGGTAAAACTTTGCTTCGTCCGTTGGAGGGAGATTTGACAAAGCCACCAGTCCGGCACCGAACACGCGCCTCGTCCGGTAACGAAGCAGCGATCCCCGCGGACCGAAGGATGCGTCTCCGTATCTCTTCGCGCGCACGCGGTGAACGTGCGTTGAAGCGCTGTGCGACCTGTCCGCGCATTCGCGCGCACGGAGACAAGAGATGGAGAGATGGACCGAAAGGACGCACGGACGCGTTTCCTCGTTCCGAGCGCAGCCCGGCTTCAGCACCGCGGCGAGTGGACAGCTCCCCCCTCCCCCGCCCTCCCCCTTCTCCTCCCCTCCGTACCCCCGATGATTTGCGTCCAGCATCGACTTACCTTCCGTCCCGGCAAACTGGCTGGAAATCCTGCTGGCACACTCGCACACTCGCACGCACGCACGCACGGGGGGAGGGGGGACAGAGAACTTCTCCCGCAGCACACAGCAACAGCAGCGCAGGGTGATCTAACTGCTCGTCCCTCGCATCTCCGGCTCCCGGGGCTGGAAGGAAAAGAGAAAAAAGAAAAAGAAAAAGGGACGTCCTTGGTGCCTCCCCCCGCCTGCACACACACACACACACACACACACACACACACCGATACTCACTTGCACCGACACACGGAGAAAGAGGAGGAGTAGAAGAGGTTTGCTGGGGGTGAAGCAGCTGCCGGAGCGGAATGACTTGGAGGGATGAGAGAGAGAGAGAAATGGAGATGGAGAAGCGTCCCACCAGCGTCCTCCTGACCGATGAAGACGGATCAATTATTTAGTCCCGGCGCTGGCTGGCTGCTCCGTCCTACACGCCTCAGCCCCCACCCGCCCCTTCTCTGCAACGGGGGGAGAGGAACTGGGTCTCTCACGTAAAGCGGGAGTGTGAATGGGAGGATACGTGTTGGAGCCGTGTGTCCCTTTGTTTGCTTGCCGTCCTGACACAATGGATGCCATGTGAAAAAAATCCATCCAATCCCTCAGGGCTTCCTCTGTGATGCTGCTGCAGGGAATTCCAGCATGTGCTCCTTTCTGAAGCAGGTTGTTTATCATGTGTGTGACTCCTTCCGTAACGCTGTTCATCTCCACATCAGATTGTGTGAGTGGTGTGCACGGACGGTGCGAGGGGCTCCTGATACCTGAGGCGTAACCCCTCTGATGGGACATGTGGTGGTAAAAAAAAAGGAAGTATGGAAGTGTCCCTATTGAGGCAGAGAGACCCTGTGGGCCTAAAGCTATACGAAAAATAATGCCTCGTGGTTTCAAACTCTTTTTTTTAAATTATGCAGGCAGTCATAAACAAGGAAAACGCACACGCCGGGCGGGAGGGTCCAACAAAAACGAGACGTTTCCATGTCTGAAACAAGAGATCAACGTTGATGTTTCGTTAAGTAACTTTAGTGGCCGAACTTAAATCCAAACGTCGACATTTGCCCTAACCAAAGTAGTTTTCATGATCTGAACCAAAAGATGTTAGCAATTTTTTTTTTCCCGGCCAATATTAACTATTAGGTAGCGTACAGTTCATAGTTTTTGTTAAACCAACATCAGCGCTCACTCGATAGTTGCTTAGCAACGATGAAAAAAAACACCTTATCGGGCAGCGTGGTGAGTCATGCGGTTTCACCTGGAAAACGTGTTCTGTCTGATCAGGCCCGGTTTATTTAAAAAGACCATTTCTTTGGTCAACATAATGTCCATGGAACCAACACTGGATGCTATCTGAGATAAATGCGATCTCTACTGAAAGATAGAAAGGTGAACTCCACCATGGCCCTTGTGAAACGGGCCCCAGCCGTATAAACAGATTCTAATTAAAATCATCACGGTAGGATGGCGGCTTTCTTTGCCATTGCATCCAAGGTATTATTTGAGCGATGCACTCTGCGGCCTCAGCGATGTCTGTTTCCACCGTAACAACTGACAACAATCTCCATTTTCTTCTGTCACAAAAACACCACTTCAATATCTGTTTTAATCCTATTCCGTGCCTATGGCCGCGGTGCCTTGAAAGGTCCTCCTGCACAGAGACAGATTTGTCCACGTTTCACTTTGTCTTGTTGCACCTACAGTCTATCGGACCTCTGCGGAACCACGTGAACGAACCCGAGCGGTCGTGTAACGGCGCACTGCTGGTACCACGGACAGTATTTGGGTTGTGGTTTGATTAAGGAGCACGCACACAGTTTTGTATATTTAAAACGTTGGCCCATGTGCACAGCTGGGACTCAAGAGTCCTTCTTTTCGTTCTCTCTGGGAACATCACATTACATTACAGGTTCATTTAGCAGACGCTTTCATCCAAAGCAACTTACATTACACATTAAACCCATAGCTTTCCACATTTTGCCTGGGGAGCAATTAGGGGTTGGGTGTCTTCCTCAGGAACACTTTGACTTGAGACATGGGGCATCCGGGACTCGAACCAGCACACCCGCGCTACCCCCTGCGCCACGACGACCCCCGGGAAAAAAACAAATAGATCACTGCGGTGAGCGACGGATTGCAGAGCCCCGATTGTGTTGATGTTTAATTAGGTTGGTGGCAGAACAATAGCGTGCAAATATGGACAAGCTAAAGAGGAGAGTTTGTATCGATACGGGCACAATTCACCTCTGATTCCTCTTCCCAGGGTCACAGAGACGGCTGGTGGCAGGTAGGTCAGGGCTAATTACAGGAAGAAGGTGTACATACTGGTGTTTGAATACTGAAGGCAGTGAGTGGGGTAGACAGGTGAGTGTGACCAGCAGGTGTACAGAATGAGCTGATTCGGTGGAGCGAGAGGTGGAAATGGAATAACAGCGCTGTGACGACCTGTAGATGAAGAATGAAGCCCAGCAGACATGATAGGATATTGAGCTGTTTTTGCCGTTTGAGCCCTTTTTGTTCCCGGCTCGTAACATTCTTCTCTTGTCTAAATCTGAATCTAGCAGAGAGGTTTAACGCGCAACGTATTAAAGAATTCTACTCTACCTTAAAAGAGGATGTGCTCTGCAAATTTATGCAAAGCCGGTGTGCCAAAATGTCACACGCTGCACCCTCAAGAGCCGGATCTCATTTAGCCTTCACTGATGTTCTTTGGTTTCCATGATTTCTGTGTAGAATCATGCCAACTCGAGGCCCTTCACCATTCAGCTGTAGAACAAGGGCTTGACATGTTTCCTGGAATTAGGCCGCACGCAGAGAATTTTAATCCCCGCTCTCGTTTTTATCTCACTCGCTCACTTCATTTGGAGGAACATCGGCAACAACAAGGTTGATCAGCGTGCCAGGCTCCGGTAATTAGGCCTCCCCGATCTCCCACCAAGGTGTTCTCCCTAAATACTCCGGCTGAGGCAGAGATGAAGTTGAGCTTATTCAAATTTATTCAAAACTTGAAGACAAGTTCACTGAAAGCTAGCGTGAGCCACACTTTTCAGTTTAAAGCAGCAATGGAGAAGGTTTTTATAGTAAAATCCCTCGTCTTAATCTCACGAACCAGCGGGACTGCAGCAGAGGAGGGACACGGTTGACTCCGGTGCGAGCTTTGGACAGTTCGCAGTCAGAAAAGTCTTTCTCTTTTTAGACGGGAAAACTCTGACTGCATTTTATTTCAAGTGCACATTCACAAGAGGGAAGTGCAGCTCAGCAGAAACGTGATTCTGTAGCTGCTTTTCATTTTCCTCTGGCACCAGCTCTCCAGCTACAGTGCTGCCCCGGCTGCATGTTGCCCCGGGGAAGCCATTGGTCAAAGCCTCCATGTGGACCCCCCCCCCTCCCCATCAGCCCCGGAAACAGCGATTGATCACATGTTGAGATCAATAGAGGCTAACATTAATTATTTGAAGTACACTTGGACTGTTTGATTTCAATTATATCTTCCGATCAATCCTGTTGAACAGTTTCACTGCTGTTAATGTACATGGGAGATGTGGCAGAGTGGAGATGGGGGCCGGGCCCCCTGCAGACGCCACCCGGGTCCCCGATGAGTTGGTGTGTGGACTCCTCTCCCTCACACACCATCACACACTCTCCTCTCCCTCACACACAAACACACACTCTCCCTCACACACAAACACACACTCTCCCTCACACACAAAGACACACTCTCCTCTCCCTCACACACAAACAGACACTCTCCTCTCCCTCACACACAAACACACACTCTCCTCTTCCTCACGGACAAACACACAAACACACACTCTTCTCTCCCTCACACACAAACACACACTCTCCTCTCCCTCACACACAAACACACACTCTCCTCTTCCTCACGGACAAACACACAAACACACACTCTCCTCTCCCTCACACACAAACACACACTTTCCTCTCCCTCACACACAAACACAAACACACACTCTCCTCTCTCACACACAATCACCTCTCTCTCACACACAATCACACACTCTCCTCTCCCTCACACACAAACACACACTCTCCTCTCTCACACACAATCACCTCTCTCTCACACACAATCACACACTCTCCTCTCCCTCACACACAAACACACACTCTTCTCTCTCACACACAAACACACACTCTTCTCTCTCACACACAATCACACACTCTCCTCTCCCTCACACACAATCACACACTCTCCCTCACACACAATCACACACTCTCCCTCGCACACAAACACACACTCTCCTCTCCCTCACACACAAACACACACTCTCCTCTCCCTCACACACAAACACACACTCTCCTCTCCCTCGCACACAAACACACACTCTCCTCTCCCTCACACGTACTCCCCTGATGTCTTGTTAATTCTACCCAGGCCCACTCTAATGTACTGCATTCTCCTTTCTCGCCCTCTCCAGACATCTTGGTTCTCACAAAACACACACACACAGACACACACAGACACACACGCACACGGGTCCCTGCAGGAGGAGCAGTAATGGAACCAACATCTGCGGCTCCCCACTGACCTGCACTTGCCGCTCCGTGTGTTTAAGGGGCGAGGAGGCGTGTCAACCTGTGTGTGTGTGTGTGGGGCCGCTGACGCGCTGCATTCATTCCCCGGCTGATCTGAGCTCAGCCCGAACGTTCCCCGGGAGGAAGAACCTCTTGTTAATCCGCGGATAGGTGTCGAGGCCTCGGAATGCCACTGTGGGAAGAGGTTTCGTCGTCACAAGAATTGTTGTCTGCACATCAACTAAATGGAAAACCAAACTAACCAAATAAGTTGATTTACTTTTTATAGATGGTAATACCTTCAAATGAATTCACATTATGACATTTTTTCTATTAAAAAAAAACAATTGTTCAGCTGGGCCATAATATGCAACCCAAAGGAATAGATGCGATACAAGCAACCCGGATCTAAGATCTAATCTTAGATCCGAAGCGACCATGGGGACCCATAATAGGGTCACCTTAGGTAAAAAAAACAATTATCCCAGATGTGGAAGAGCAGGACGCTTTCTGATAAATAACTTCTTATAGAATTATTCTCTCCGATGAAATAGTAAAGCGTGTATAAATGGCTTTCTCGGTGCTGCGTGTCATTTGTACACCAAGTATTCTGTCCAGAACAAAAAGTACAACGACCGGTGACGTAGTATAAAGTGTGTGGAAGACCACAAAGAGACGTCCGATGTTGATTGCAAAAAAACCCCTGAAATGATCCGAAAACAAACTTTGGTAGCTGAAATGATGAAAGATGCTCCGTATGCACAGCGGTTCGATTCCTTGCTCCTCCTGCTGCTGACGGGGCTTGACAGGAAGTAATGAGTCATAAGCTGAGCGTCAAGGTTAATTAAAGCAAAAATAGTCTGTTTTTTACCCCTGACACGCTATGAATCTGGACTGCTGTGCTTTGATGGTATTTTTGGTACGCTGTGAAGGATTTGTGGGTTCGCTCTGAGTTCGACAGGATCAGGATCAGATATCTCCTCG